TTCTTGGGCCCCTGTACCCATGTGGGAGACCCCAAAGAAGCTCCTGGTGCCTGGCCCAGCCACAGGTGTTGTAGCAATTTGGAGAGTGAACCAGCTGATGGAAGATCTCTCTCTCTCCCTCTCTCCTCTCCACCCTCCTTTCTGTAACTCTGCCTTGCAAATAAACAAATAAATCTTTATAAAAGAAAAGAAAGTATCTAGGAGCTCCATCATCATTCTCATTGTATCTGACATATATTGAAGACTTACCGCTATGCCAGATGTTTGTTGTACATTGCTTTATTTAATCCTGCCAACACCCCACACCTGTGTTATTGTTCACATTTATGGTGGATGAGTTAGGCTCACAGGGGTCATTTGCACCCAAGGTCACACCGGCCCTTCTGTGACTGAAGGCCATCCCTACTTAGTCAGAGGCTAGCTTCCTAGGGGCATGGCGTGGCCGCAGAGAAGCCTCTGGGGTGCGTAAAGGGCAGCTTCTGCTTGCTGGGTTATCAGCTCCCCTCTGAAAGCACTCTCTGGCTCCCTGCTCTGGGCCGTTTGGAAGGAGACTTGGCTTCGGGGTGGCCATCTGGCATCGGTTCATGCAGCTTTTGTGAAATCACATGTGGTCCCGGAGTTGCCAGGAAAAAGGATGTCTTGATGAGCCAAAATGCAAATTCCTTAGGAGAAGAAAAGTGAAAGTGAGCTTGTTCACACTGTGCAGGGCTCCAAGGAAGTGACACAATGGAGAGACACAGTGTCCTGCCACTAGGCTCCATCATATTACAGGGACGTTTTTCTGCATCTGATCATAAGCTTACCTCTCGCGTTTGCCTCTTGGATCAGTAAGAAAAGCGGAGGTGACCCAAAGGAAAAAGAAGGCGAGCTGCAGGGGCCTCAAGCTGGACAGTCCCAGACGTTTCCGGAGTGCCCCCTGGGACACTGCGGTGGGGAGGAAGTGCCCAGAGCCATCCCCCTGCTTCCCTGGCGCTAGGGCTGTCACTCAAGTAGACCTAGGCCAGGAGTAAGGACTCTGGGGGACTTCATTCAGTGTATTCACACCTGAAAGGGTAGTTATGGGCCTCATTGGAGTTTTCAAAAACTCTTTAGCTATTTGGTTTTCCCTCTTCTTTCTCTCTCTTCTCCCTCTCTCCAATTCTTGTTTTCTTCCTCTGCTGATCTTCTCCAGAACGTGGATTTCTCTGACCTGCCCATCAGCTCAGAGAAACTTAGTCAGCAGACCCCCAAAGCCTCAGGAAGGCAACTTTCGCTCTAGCCAAGCCCTGGGCAGGCTTACCTGGGCTTTGAATGCTCCTTTTGTCAAGAAATTCCTGCCCTCCTTTGTGCCTCTCCCAGACCTTCTAAGTTATACGTACAGCCAAAGACTGCAGCCTAAGGGATCTGGCAATTTCTAGCATTTTAGAGCAGCACAATTAATGGCATTGTCTAAAGACAACGTAGTCTTAGAGAATCACTGAGGGGCATTTAGACATGGGGTTTTTAAAAGCTATTTATATGCCTTTTAGAAACATAGTAGTTTGATGTCACCCAAAGGCTTGGGATTTCCGAAGGAATCTACCTGATCAAATGCAAATCATGTTTGGATACTTCAGGTGAGAGGCCCTGGCCAGTTCAAACCAGATCCATGGACAATCCTCAAGCCAGAGGAGGCAGAGTGTGGCTTCCCCTGGAATGAGGAGATAAGTGCCCCAGAGAGGGAGAGACCAGAAGTCTACACAGGCTTCTCCCAGAAGGAGGAGCCCTGCCACATGAAACAGGAAGAGAGCAGATTGCATCCTGGGACTGTTGTGGGGGTCCCTGCCTTCCCGAAAGGGCTCCCTGAAGCTGCCAGAGCCGCCCTCTGCCTCCACCTGTTGCCGGTTCTGGAACATTCCCACCTGGCTTCTCACAGTGTCGTGCAGTGGCCCCCATATCATCTATGGAGCTTGTTAAAACACATGTTGCTGGGTCTCCACCTTCCCAGAGTTTCTCATTCAGTAGGTCTAGGGCTGGGCCACAAATCCCTAGGGGACACTGCTCCTCCTGTTCAGGCACACTTTGGGCACCACTGGTGAGCAGGAGCATGGGTTGGGCTTCCTGGGATCAAAGGCTGGTCTTTGCTCATAACGCCAGGGGTTCTGGAGCAGGTTAACCTCTCTGCTGCCTCCATACCCTCATCTATTGAAAAGAAAGAGAGGAGAGGAATTGCACCTGTTTTGTGGTTTCACTGTGAAAGGTGGATAGTATCAGGCATGGAGGCTCAACCAAACTTGATGTTATTTCTCCCAACCCAGAGCTGCTTTGGGGCCCGATGCCCACTGCTGTCCAGATTCATCTGCCCACATTGGGACCCTTCTTTGGTTGTCCCTGGGTGCCAACAGTCAGCAGGGTAGGGAGGCTGGACCTCCCAGACCTCTCCAGACATCTATACCGAAGGCTCCAGGGCACATCACCCCCACTTTCAAGTCCACCTCAGAGAGTATGGCCCTGTGCATGCCTATGTTCTTTTGTGCCCTGTGACCGCGCGACAAGTAAGCACTGGCCACAAGAATCTGGCTGGCTCTCCCAAGCACTAAATTTCATATTTAATTTGGATGCATGGGTTTGAATTCTCAATCTGCCCAGACTTCCAATGCTGCACAAGCCTTGGACAATTTAGTCATTTCCTCCACCTTCTCTCATCATTTTAAAATGAATTTCAAAAGCAACCAAATGGCAAACCAAACAAAAAAAGAACCAAGAAAATGTCAGAAGCCTTCAGTTGCTAGACTCATGTTTTGCTTTTATTATCAACAACCAAGTTAATGGTACACTCTTGGAAAACTATATGCACATGTAGAAATATTTCCCTTTTAAATAGAAGCATCCATTATAACACATATAAATAAATTCAAAAATCTGAAACATAATTTATGGTTATGTTCACAAACATAGTCCAAAGACAGACATGCGCCTGATAACAAAAATATATACCATTGTCTGGACCGTGGCCTCTCTAAACACAAAGGAATTGAACCCGTGAGAACCTTATTACGCCATAAAGACACGTCATAGAGACTACAAGAAGAGAAAAACATCATACGGTCACGTAGAGGAGACAGTCTGTACTGATAGGAACACGATACAATTGAGTCACAGAACACAGTTGTAGAAAGACACTGAAAAAGTTAAAGCCTCAACATTCAACTAATATCTATAGTTTGTGCCTTTTAAAATAAAAACAAACAAAAATAAAGAAATCCCAACAGAGCTGTCTAAACTGCGCAAAGAATGGGATCGTCAGTATACAGTCCATCCACCATCCAGGATGTGGGTCCAGTTCAGACCCTTCAGACAAGCGCAAGCCGACACTTCTGCAGACGCGCGGTGTGCCTCTCCCTCGCTGGGCGTTTCTCTGCAGCCAGTTGCCTGGACTGCAATTGACTCCCATCCAAAGCAGCGCCCAAAAGTTCATTAAAAGCTGGTGGAAGAAGAAAACGCTGGCAGGGGGTGGCAGGAGAGAAAAAAAAGGAGAGTCGTGGAGCAGGAGACACAGTCCGCAGAGTTTGTGGGGGAAAAGGCATCTCACGTAGAGGGCATCTTTCAGGGCCGAGCGGGTTGGGGGTTGCAGCGGTGTGGGGTTCAGACGCTGCGTGGCGGGATGGTGTTCAGCGAGGTGGAGCAGGCAAGCGGACGGGGAACAGTCAACTTTGGCCGCGGGAACAGGTGGACTAGTCGTCGCCCGAACCCAGAGAGGCGGGGGAGGGGGCTGGAAAGGCGTCCCCGCTCGCCTCTCCTCACCCCACCCCCGCGGAAGAGGCCCCAAGAGTTGGCGCCCGCAAGAGGCACGCAGACCCTCAGCCCGCTGCCAATTCTCCCATTCCCCTATTTGTCTTTTTTTTTTTTTTAAGCCTTCGTTTTTTAAATAGTTGCTGCCTTCCGAATTGGTTGTGGCCTCATCTCTGCCCGTCACCTGCCCGGACGCACATTCCCCGAGACAGACAGACACCGACACGCAGACACAGCCCCCTGAGAGTGCCCCGAGTCCGGGCCGCGCTGGGCACAGCCCCCAGTCCGCAGGCAGGGCCCCGGCGCCGCCCCAAGGCAGGTGCGAAGCCAGGGAAGCTGTTTCTCAATTCGTTTCGTTTGGGGGTTGAGGAAAGGGGTTAGAATGGGGTGGAAAGGGGGCGATGTCGTTCTCTTTTTATTCTTATCGCGATTACTTGAGGCCCTCGATGCAGAAGCCACGGCAGCAGCGACGACAATAGCCTTGGGCCTCCCCGCTCGCCCGCTCGCCCGCTCGCCCGCCTGGGCCCCGGCTCGCCTGCCACCGCCGCCGCCGCCGCCGCATCGCCGATCAGAACATACTGCTCTTCACTAAGGCGGCTTTGGCACCGT